ATTCATTAATGATATTCTTTGTGTACTAATATCTACCTTAAGCAAATTACAGATTAAAAGCACTCATCAACACAAGTCAGTACACATTAAAGCTCAAAGGAGAAAACATTGTCAAGACATGACACAGAGGACTCAAGATTCAAAGAAGTTATCTAGATGTCATCAATGGGGTAGCTAGGATGGTGAGCTGCTTAGGAATCTTTGTTAAAGTTTGTATGAACACTTTGAAGCTCACATTTCTCAAATCATGCATAATCAACTCATTCATAATCCCTAAGGACCAAGTTTAACACATCATCATAATAAGTTTCCTGAAACATAAACCATTTCAGTCAACCGAATTGGAAGGGCACATTAAATCAGTCGACTGATATAAATAGAGACCTTGGATCAAAACCCCTAAGCTATTTCGGTCTACCGAACCTTATGACCTTGTTAAATCGGTCGACTGAACCTAGCATATTGAAAGTCTCACTTAAGTTTCAAGCGACCGAATCTAGAAAGGGAAATGAATCAGCAGAGCTGATTCTCATATAAGGTTTTAGAGCTTTTAAGGAAGGAGTTTCGGTCGACCAAAACAGATGGAAGTTTTCATCGGTCTACCGAAACATGGTTAGTAATCTACCTCGAACCAAATCGGTCGACCAAACCAAAGAGGACTCTTTCATCAGGCTATCGAACTAAGGCTGATGGCCATCCTTTGACTAAATCGGTTGACCGATCCTTAAGAGCAATTTATTTCAGTTTACCAAACCTATGAGAATTCAAATTTCAAAAGGCCATTATTCCTCGAAATGTGTGTCCAACAGCTAGAATTCATATTAGACAATTCTGAAAGTCTATATAATGACTGGTAACCCTCATAAAAGCTTGTTGCATTAATTGAGAAAGATTTTCTAGCAATCAAAAAGCCTTTCATCATCATATACACACATCTCATATCATAAAAGAGAGTTGAGCTTCAATTTATTCATACACACTCTAGAGTGAGCTATATCTTGTACTTTAGATCTAAGAGAGATCATATTGTACTTCTTCAATCTTGTTCAAAACTTGTAAGGGCTGGTGTGGCCCAAGAAAGACTAAGAGAAGGTGTTTCTCTTAGCACATAGAAGCAAGGAATAGCTTCTTGTAAAAGGTTTTCTCTCCACCCACAAGGAGAAGCCATAGTGAATTGGGAAGTCTCAAGAAGGATCTTAAGCCGAGGAGTAGGAGTTTCCGAACCTCGCTAAAAATCGCTGAGTATATGTTTGCAATTTCTATATCTTACATTTATTGCTTCATATCTTGTTTGATAAATAGTGTTTTTTGAAGTCTAAAATTCAGTTTGCCTTCTTCAATATTTATCAAGGAAGTTAAGTCTTGTTATAGTTAGTGAGTTAAAATTCAAAATTGACCTTAGTTTGCTTAGACTCTATTCACCCCCCCTATAGAGTCTATACTTGGGCAACAAGGTTAGTAGATGTTCTGAAATTTTATATACTACTAAAAGCTTTTGTATCTTTGTTGAGTTCATCTATCACTTGCTTAGATGCTTCAATGGTATGGGTGTGACTATTATCAAAGCCCTGCTTTATCTGATATAGTGATATAATTTTTATGTGTTTTTTTTTAAATTCTTTTTTTTTCACTGACTGTCTTTTTCTTTTTCAAGAAGTAGAATTTTACTTTGTAAAATAGAAAAGCTAAAACTATTAGGTGTAACAGGCTGATTCTTAAATGACAATCTAGTTGCTCCTACTTGTATTGATTGATTGATTGGCATTCAAACCGAAGAGCTTCTCCAAAAATGGAATTCCTAGATTGTGTGGTTGTCTTAAGTTTAAGTTGTGGTTATGCATTGGTAATTTGTGATGGGTTCTCTTAGATTTCAACTTTGTGAAATGAGTTTATGATGGGGGTTCTCTTAGATTTCAACTTTGTGAACACCTTTTTTTTTTTCTTTTTTTTATTTTTTTTTTTTTATTTGCTTATGAATGCCATTTCAAAAATAAAACCAGGGTTCAGGTGTTTGAATTTGTGAGGAAGGAAGTATGGTACAATTCAAATCTATCTGTGTTCAGTGACATGATCTTGCTACTGGGAAAGAATAAATTAATGTAGTTTGCATGGAGAATTTTACATAAGTTTGTCAATGAATTTGTTAGAAGCTTATGCACTAAGATAGAATCATGACTTATGAGTTGATCAGTAAATTACGGCTTTTTACAACCTGCTAACCTACCATTTTGCATTTGTCGGTGAGGACAGTCTCAAGGGAGCAAGTAAGAGCACCAAGGAAAGTTGTTTGAAGATGGGGTCATGGTTGTGCTTTCTGAATTTCCTTAGCCGATGTGAAAACTTTTAATACATTTTAATGGGTTCTTTTGAGGAAACTTGTGGTTGCGTTCATTACTTTTATGAAAAATTATTTTCATTGTGTATACTTCTTTTGTAAAAACTTGTTGTTCAGTATTAGTAGACATGCAATTTGGATGGTATTTTCATACTGGCAGGTTAACTTGTAGTTGCCTAAATGGTAATTATTTTTATATATAACCATGTTTTATAAATGGGTTTCTTTAGTATAAAAAAAAATAAAAAAATAAAAAAGAAGAAGAAGAACTGGTAATCACCGGCGCTCTTTAAAAGAACACTGGTATTAACCCTTGTACTAGAGCTTTTGAACAAGCGCTGGTAAAGGCCTACGGACACTGGAATCACCAGCGTTTTTTCAAAAGCGCAGGTAAAACGCTGGTAATTGAATTATTAGCTTTTTTTAGACTTTCACCAGCGTTTTTGAGCACTGGTGAAAGCCATAACTGTTGTAGTGACAGTAGTGTCACATCACCTGCCATGTCAGACACAGTCAGCAACGATGCCAGCAGTAGTGCCACATCAACTGTTAATCGTGTCTCCATCTTCATCATGGGCAAAAACCCAACTTCACAAAATCACTTCCGCCATGCCACTTTCAAGATCTCATTTCTAAACTTAAGATGGTTTCATTCATTCCACCTTGATTTTGGAGGGGGCTGTTAGAATATATTGTAGAACATATTATTAATATATTGTATAATATATTCTAACCTTATATATGATTACCATATATATTGTTATCATATACATATATGGTTTACTTGTTCATCACACATATCCCCTATTATATAAACCCTTCTTGTATACATCAATACAATACAGAGTTCTCTCTTTTATATTTAGCAGAAGAAATCTAGTGTTATTTTTCACTTCTATGATTATACAGAGTCGATTTAATTCCTAATTGAAGTATATATAACTGTAAGCAGATAGGAGAGGAGAATTCATACAATTTATATTTTTCATCAGCTAGGAGAAGACCTCACAGAACAAATATGTACACTATAAACTATCCTAACATATGACCGTGAAGCACCTTCTGGAGGAGCGTCTTCGGCATTTTTTTTTAATAAATAACAAGTGATAACATCATCCATCTATTATATAACACATAAGAAAACTAAAGCTGCTAATTTGAGCATGCAAAGAAAAAATATGCTAACCAGTCCTTTAAATGTAATACAATTAGTTTGAATGCTCTTCAAAATCTTCCTTCGAAAATTCAACTAGTATCACATCTTGCCATCACCATCTATTCAACTTTATTTAGAAAAACCATTTCAAACATAAGGGTAAGTGCATAATTACATTATTATTTATTTTATTTTTTTCTTCGTGATTATGCTTTATCTAGTATCATGAGCTCACCTAAACATAATGTTATCATAGTTTCCATATCATTTTTCCATGCTGGACCACATTGGCATTACAAACATAAGGGTAAGTGCATAATTAAGATCATAACAAACATTGGGGTTTGTGTGTGTATTATATATATGGTCGTTGTTTTTGTTTTTGTTTTTATTTTTTATTTTTTAAACTCCAAACCCCCTGGACAGGGCCCTTTGAACCCAATCCCAAGTTACAAAGAGTGCTGCAACCGCCCCCAATATATATCGTGTTTAGTAAAACAAGAAATTGTGGGCAAAGGGGCAAAAGAGATGATCACTGTGAGAGGACTTCAAGAAAATCAAAGATAAAAATCACAACCTACTAATAGCTTGAGCGACAAAACTATGCTTCAATGATCAAATTTATAGAGAGAGAATCATATATTGTGGCCTGCTTGATATATCAGAAAATACAGAGAGCATGAGGGACTCAACAGAGAGATTCAGCGACCAAGCCAACTGGAGAGCATTAACGACCCACCATCCGTCAAAATTCTCAGGCGTACTTTTCTAGTCATATCATCTTGGGTCGGTGGGTGCATCACCGAAACACAGAGATTCCAGTTCCGGCAAGAAGCTTTTGACCATCACCAACCAAACCCAAAAGCTTATAACCATCAGTGCATCACCGACCAAACCGGCCAGGGAGACAAGGTTTTAGAGAACATTATCGAAACTGAAGGAGCTAAGAGAGGTGAGGTGGTTTGGTTTAAAGTAGCTAAGATTGTTGATAAAGTTGGTTGCTGACGTGTCGATTTATAAGAGACTTTTCATACTACAATTCTCTATGTCATTGGGAAAGATTTATAACACTTTGAGGGTATGAATGTGTTGTTAGATTTTTTTATTTTATTTTTTTTGGCTCTAGAATTTTTTTTTGGTAAGGAATTGGTTCCTTTTTCAATAGTTAGATTTTTTATTTATTATTTTATTTTATTAGTATTATTTTTTTGTATTAGAAATCTTAAATTTATGATAGTTAAATAAGGTAATTTAATGAGATGTTAATGATGTATGAATTATAAAGTAATTTAATGAGACTTTATTAGGTTGTACGATTAAAAAAACATAAAAATTGTTAAAAAATTGAAAGAAGGGTTTATACTTTTTATAATAGTATATACAATATAGATATAGATATACATTAAAATTTGTATTATACATGGAAAAAAATTAAAATTATATCATAATTCTGTAAATTTTAATTTCATATTACATATTTGGTTCGGAAATTGAATGTTTTCCTTTCTTTACTAAATAAAGATTTAATTTCACAATACATTAAAATTTACCTTTATTTGCTTAATAATGATTTAATCAGTACCGTTGATCACAAAATGATGTCAGCGAATCTCTAGAAATTTTCTTCCACATTTAATGGCCATTTCTTAGAGTCTAACTCTGCAAACCGAACCGTGTTTTCCATCTTCCTTGATCCCCCCAATCTCTCTCAAACACTCTCTCGATCTCTCGATTCAACTGCTGGAACTTAGTTTCATGGACTGTTCATCTACAAGATCTACTTGGGTGAGTTAATTTTCGAAACTCCTCTTGATTTTTCTTGCACTTTCTCGCTCTTTCTTGCAATTATATCATGAATTCCCCCAATTCAGAATCTGGGTTTCTCCCAGATGAAGTAGTTCTTCAAATTCTTGCAAGATTGCCCATTAAATCCCTCTTTAAACACAGAACAGCATGCAAACATTGGTATAAATTGTGTTCCGGTAAATATTTCATTCAACTCTATAAGGAAGTATCTGTTAAGAACCCAATTGTGTTGCTAGAGATCACTGAGCTCTCGGAAGCCAAATCAAGTTTGATTTTTGTTGATAGATTTAGGGGTGCCTCTGAATTTTCATTGGATTTTATCAATGATAGAGTGAAAGTTCGAGCCTCGTGTAATGGATTGTTGTGTTGCTCTAGTATACCTGATAAGGGTGTTTATTATGTATGTAATCCAATGACTAGGGAGTATAAATTGCTTCCCAAAAGTAGGGAAAGACCCGTTACTCGATTTCATCCAGATGATGAGGTCACTCTTGTTGGAATTGCTTGCAATTTATCAATGCAAAAGTTTAATGTTGTATTAGCTGGTTATCACCGATCGTTTGGCCATAGGCCGGGCAAGACTTTTTTGTCTTTGGTTTTTGATTCGGAGGCGAACAAATGGAGGAAGATTGTGTCATTGCTAGATGATCATTTCACCCATATGAATAAGAATCAAGTGGTATATGTTAACGGCTCACTGCATTGGTTGACAGAAAGTTGTTCTTATGTGCTTGTGCTCGATTTGAGTCTTGACATTTGGAGGAAGATTTCATTGCCCGATGAAGTCTGTTGTGGGAATGGGAATAGGTGTTATCTGTTGGAGTCAGAAGGGCATTTGTCCGTGATTCAGATTTCAGACGCTTGGATGTATATTTGGTTTTTGAAAGATTACATGATGGAAGATTGGCATATGGTTGATAGGGTGAGTCTTAGATGTATTAGAGGAATGGCACCGGGCATTTTCCCAATAAGTCAGACCAGTGAATATGTTCTTCTTGCAACCCATAAAGAGGTGCTGATGTATCATCGACATAGCAGAGTGTGGAAAGAAATGTATTCTGTGAAGAACAGCTCTACCTTACCGTTGTGGTTCTCAGCACACGCCTTCCAAAGCACAATCTTCTCTTGTAGGCAAGAGTAAGCTGTGGACTGAATTTGAACGACTGTTGTATATAAAGGTATTGTTGCAAAATTGCTACTCATTGTTCGACTCTTAATTGTCAATTGTCAAAGTTTTATGTGATTTGCATATGCAGTATGTAATTTCAGTACCATGCTAGTGGCTTTGAGGTGGACCTTTATCACTTCACATTGATCATTTTGTCAGGCCACTGTGCGATTGCTTTTATGTATTCATATCTCTGATGTGGACTGATTTTAAAAAGGTATTGTATATAGAATCATTGTTGCAAATTGCTACTCATTGCTCCCCGGTCAATTGTCAAAGTTTTTGTGATTTTGCATATATATTGTGTAATTCAGTAGCATGCTATTGGTCTTATCATTTTACAATAATCTTTTTACTGGGTTTCAGTCTTTGTTAAATCAATGCCATTAGTTACTTAACTTATTATAATTTGTACTAGTCCTGCAACTAATTGAAGATGGTTAAATAAGTCCATATTCTTTCCATGTTTAGAGCATACACAACTCATTTAGGTTCTGTTAAATGGCAGGCCATTTATATCACGGTCATTTATGTTTATGAACTCTTTATTTTTAATAATTCTATTATTGTTTCTTATAAACACATCTTCTATTTTTAAATTCATACAACATCAGTCATTTCTTGTTATCGGTGATCGACTTTTTAGAAGCATCATTTGGCTCAATATTTCTATTATTACTCAAAATCGACACTACTTTTTAAAACTTTCCACACATTGTACATATCTACAACCCTATGAAATTATCTACAATTTAGAATCTTCTCTACATTTTACAACTATCTACAAGTTCTCCACTATTGTAGAATCTTTAAACTCTCTCTCCACTTCTCATTTCTCTACGCAACTCTCGAAGACTCTAAAACTCCACTTTCCACATGCCCTATACCTCAGTGCTTGCATGTCGCTTGCGTGACGTAACCTCTATGCAAATAGGCGACACACTTGAAGATGCATATTGTTCTTGCTATATTGTTCATTCTTTGGGGTAAATGGTCGTGGCTTGCAGTTATGTATTCTCATACAGTATATATCTTAACTTTTTGGCAGTGCTCTGCTGATCCTTTTTTTTTTTTTTTTCTTCTTCTTTGTCTTGCCGTTACCTAAATTTTCTTGTTGAAAATAAATGCAGTTGTGACCCTTAAAACTCCTCTTCTTTCTGGTCTTTTTATTATTATTATTATTTTTATATCGCTCTTCAACATGTATGAATCAATGCATGAACCATCCCTTTCCCAAAAAGAAAAAAAGAAAGAGTGATTCATGTGCAACAACAATGGCGGAGAAACCAAAATTCTCAAAGCAATACCATACCTAGTCAAGAATGCAAGGTAAATGCACTTACCACGTTGCACAAGGAACAACTATTATACTCAATTCTAGAAGGAACTTTAGATTCAGGATTGTAGATTGTTTCCTAGAATGACTATGAACTTTTTGTGTAGTCTGGGCATAGGAGACATTGAGGGTTCAGACAATTTGGAGATATAAGAAGCCTTCATGTGAAGGAAGTGTTGTTTTCCCTCTTTTGTTTGGTTAAATAAGAAGAGGAGGGAAAGAAGAAAAGTGAAGTCAGTGTTGTTTTCCCTCTTTTGTCTGGTTAAATAAGAAGAGTGAAAGAAGAAAAGGTAAGTCACTTGAATCCTTGTCGAATAATATTGTTGTTTGAAGGGGAAAACATTTAGAAGAAGATTTTTCTTTAATCCTCATTCCTCTTCTTTTTCTTTACACATGTTTGGACATGTTGCAATATATAGCTTTCCTTCTTTTAAGAATTTGAAAACAAAATAAAATAAAGTGATACTGGGTTATGAATGGTCATGTGCACTGAATGTATAGAGTGTGAATGAAAAATTCAGAACATTGCACGGTTGAAATTAGTAGATTACAAAAAATTCCAAAATAGCAAAGAGGTTTATCAAGTTCGTAAATAGCTATGATATTTATATGGAGACTTTTACTGAGACTAAATAGGATGTGTGTATAAAGGGTGCGAGTTTCATTTGCAACCACCACCTCAAAGCTGCACAAGTGAAATAAGCCATACCAAAAAATTATTGTCGCGAGCAGCAAGGAGTAGAACACCTCCGTGGCACACTACTTAAACTTCAATTTGTAGAACCATGGCAGACACACTGAATTTAACATTTTGTTTGAATTATGACAGCACTATTGGAATTTTAATAGGTGAATAATTGGTTAATCATTTGATAACATACTATTCAAAGAAGAAAAAATAAACTGTGTTGAATAGTTTGTAAATAATAACATATTATTCAAAGAAGAAAAAATAAACTGTGTTGAATAGTTTGTAAATAATAACATACTATTATTCTCCCATCTCCGAATAAAATAATTTTGTTTGAATCCTAGTCCCTCCACTTTTCATCTCCCATCTCCTTTGTTCCACCCTTCCTACCAAATAAATTATAAAACCTTAATCTAACACGTGTATGGATGTGTTGCGTGCTGAGCACACCTTTACTTCGTCTTTCAAGCATTACAAAAAAATTGTCCTTGCCTTTTCATATTGAGACCGTGCCTAAACTATGCAGTTCAGCTACATGTTAAGTTGTGTATTTAACCTTAGTTTTTAGTTTTTACTTCTCATATGCAGCTGAACATCCCAGTTAACCGGCGAAGATAGTTTGATTTTCTATGGTTCTAAGAGTTTTGTCCATAACAGCCTAAGACTTCTCAAAATCAAAGCTTTGGTACCACATTATCAATTGTTTGAGGTTTAATGATGCTGTCTTCGGCTGATGGAATAGTGGATACAAGTTTTGTGAGACGAAAATACCAAGAAAGGAAAAGAAAATAATAATATTTTAACTTTTTAGGAGTTTGAATAGCCTGAAAAATAAAATAAAATAAATGGGAAATTAACTTCCCTTACATAGCCTTTAGGGATTTGGTAGAGTTGGTAAGGTCATGGCTTGTATTCCTTAAGGTCTCAGGTTCGAACTCGTCCATCCTCATTATTCTCCTGACTCATCTGCGGCGAGGATTCCCACATTAAAATAAAAAACCCTTCCCTTACACACAAGAAAGTTTTGTTCTCTTAGAAAGTTATGTGAACTTACAATTATACCCCTTTTTCTCTCTTTAATGTGTTTATGCATAATTTTTTATAATAATAGTATAATAATCTATAATCTCTCTCCAAATGTCCTACAAATAGATTCTTTTATTTTTTTTCAAAAAACAAAATGTTTATTCAATGCAAATTTATTTAGACTTTTTTTATCTTATTAAATGAAAGTAAGAACAATTTAGGTAAATTGTTACATTTTCTTGTAACTTTCATGCTATCCAAATTACAAAATGATACTTTCCCACAACTTTCTTCAAAACTTTTCATATCAACCAAATGCATACTAGAAAATTAATTATCTTTTCTTTCACTTAACTCATTTTCACTGTTATTATATAGGAGTGAGCAAAAAATTGGTTGAATCGATAAACCGAACCAAATCGGATGTTTGGTTCGATTTTTTTACGGTCAGTTTGGTTTGGTTACAGATTGAGATTCTATAAGATCAGACTAAACTGAACCGAATCGTTTTATAAATTATATATATATTTATATATTTTGTATTATATAGATAATAGAATAATAAGATTAGTTTTTTAACCAGTCAACTATATCATAATATATACTAAAAAGTTATATTATAATAAAAAATTATATTATATATGATATATATTATACGAATATGATAATTTGATAAAATGAGCATGAAATTGAAAGATAAAATGAGCATGAAATTGAAAATAATGTGAAATACAAGTTCACTAGTTTGTCGATGGTCTTGAAATGAGAGAATCTTAAAAATGAGAAACTGTACTGCGTTTTTTTATGAATCCAACCATGGATCCTAACATAATTATTATGAATACTTTTTTAGCGAATGAACAAAAGAAATTGAATAGCTATTAGCATGATTTAATTATTATTAAGATTAAATTACACTAACCTCTCCTAAAAATAGATTAAATAATAGTGACGACCTTTGATCAATTTTTAAAATCCACCTCCCATAAACAGAACATTGATTGATAGATGAAATATGTTGACCTCATGGATTTAGAGTATCCCTCATTTGGCTCTCATATGCTAATCCTTCCCATCTTTTGATATATACAAAACACCTGCTTATGAAGAATAAATAAAAAATACTGAAAATTCACAAAATACCCTTGGAGTGTTTGAAAATACAAAATTTTTTTTTTATCACCTTTGGTAATATGTTGAAATGACCAAAATACCCCATTTTCATAAAGAAAGTGGACACAATTGCCACTACAGAATTCTCTCCCCTTTAGCACATATATCTCTCTCTATCCATCTATTCTCTCCCATACAAAAGAGCTGCTAAAGGTCCATTCAAAAAAAAAAAAAAAAAAAAAAAAAAGAGCTGCTAAAGATATAAGCCCTAATATTTCCAATAATACACAAAGCTTCATCTCTCTCATGCCCTCACTACAAAGCTTCATATCTCTCTCAAAAATATTTACATTAACAAAAAAAAAAAAAAATTCAGTCACTTTTGTATTAAGGTGCTCCTTAATTAAAAAAAATATATAAATCAATTTTTAAGAGAACAAAATACAAAAATTATCTCTCAATCAAAGTCTGTATCAAAATACATTTAGAATAAACTTCAGGCTTCAGTGAAACTTCGCATACTCTTTCGTTTCACAAAATTCGACCAAAAGAAAAGCTTTATTTTTTAGAAACTTGTATGATTTATTTTTAAAAAAAGCTTTGTTTTTGAGAAACTTGTATTATTTATTTTAATGTATTTTGATATGATTTTTTCTATGACATGACCATTTTAATACGAATAATGTGATGATATGTTCCGCGAAATTTTTTATACTAAGAAATTTAAATTTATAACTATAGCGTTTAAAATTCAATTCTTAATTTTATTTTTATTTTTTTTTTCTAGTTGAGACTCACACGCCCACTTTGCGTTTATTGAAAATTGAATCATTGACCTTCTACTAATATGCCAGTAGCCTAACGGTACTAGACTCCTACTTCTCAAAGGGAAGTCGGGATTTGAACCTTAATGGAAGCATATGTGTGTGACTTTTTCCGTGAAGAGGTATCAATAGACTATAATAACTGGGTTGTTCAATTCTTAAAATTTTTAGTGCATAATTTCATGTTTTATGAAACAATATCTAAATTAAGATATTTCTTAATATTTCTTTATGCTTTAAGCATTCAAAATGCAATGATGAGT